AAATCGTAAGAGAACAGCAACAAAATATCTCCATGTGCATTACTGACTGATGAACAAACAGTCTATAAGCAACTAAACAGTCAAAGTATTTTTCACCTTCCACTTTTTTTTTTTTTTAGTTTAGCTTGCTTCATTTCTATCCTCACAACATTTTGTCACTGGAATCCAGAAAAAACTTGAATTCTCTTTTCTTTGTATCTTCTACAAGTTCCTTTAAAGTGAGCTTATATCATGCAAATGAGAGGGCTTTTTCTCCTAGTTTTTAAATTTGTCGGGTTTTGTGGTTTTTTCTTTTTTTTTTGTCTGCTAAAGAATTCTTACAAAATGGAAATATTAGCTCTGAACCACTTGAAAGAGAACTCCAAGCCTTCCATTATAAAAGTCTGTTATTAATATGAAATAAACTGTTGCCTACAGTCTTATTTTGAGTAATATCCTCCTTTCAGATCTGGTAACTTGCTAGTTTTAAATAAACTCTAAGATCAGTAACTATTCCAGTATATAAAACCTCTTTTAGATGCCCTCTTCAACATTTTCTGAGCTTATACATCATGCTTAGTAGAATTCAAATATTGCCAAGGACAGCAAGTGTCTCTACTTTGCACAAAACAAGACAGGAAGAGAATGCCTACTCATCTCATTGCAAATTGGGACTTTTCAACTTGTGAATCACAAGATATGCAGGATAAGCCTACAGGATTTACCAGAATAAGGACTACGCATAATAATTGCTTTTGTTTTGAAGAGATTTTAAAATTCAGAATAAAATCGCTAGAGGATTATTAGGATTATTATCTCTGTATGCATCTTAACTCCACTGACTAATCACACAGAGAGCAGATAACAGTTCTTTCTGTGGTCCAGCCCTGCAATCCATCCCCATCATACAGTTTTCAGTTAACACTTCTTAGGTTAAAGATTCTCCAAGACAGAGTTCGGCTTTACAAGTTTCTATCCCTCATGTCCTGTTTCTAATAAACTGTGATACAGTTTTCTGCAGGTCTCAGCTTGCAGAAGGATTAGATGGAGAAGGTGAATCACAAGTAAGTGCATGGGTTTCCTTGCACAAAAAGAGCAGAAACTCTCCATTCACAAAGTGGTATTTGCAAGTTTTCAAAGTAAAGCTGCAGGCAAGACCTCATACACAAAACTGCAGATTTCTCCAGAAAGCTCTGAATTTCATCACCTGAAAGCATACAAGCATTTTAGGAACAAGCTACGTAGCTGGTAATGTACATGGGAGAGAAAAAAAAAAAAACAACGAAAGAAAACCCAAAACCCCCCACCTAAACAGTGTGAGAAACAGAGGATCTCGTCAGGGGTTCCTTTGCTGGATGCACAGAGCGCACACAGCGTTTCGAACGGCCTCTGGCTTCTCCAGCTTTCCGGGAGTCACCACGGGAACAGCACACGCCCCGTGTGCCGGTGCAGCGCTCGCTGTGCGGCACAGCCGCTCCCGGCTCCCCGCTGCTCCCGAGCAGCCGGAGCGCATCGCTCGGGGAGCCGGAGCATCGGCCTCTCTTTGTTCTAGGGGACCCCGCGAGGCCCCGGCGAGACTCCGCCGGGTGCGGAATGCGACAAAGCCTCTCCCTCCCGGCACCGCGGCCAGGCTGCGGGCATCGCCGGCCCCAGGGCACGGCGGGTTCCGGGGGGCACTGGAAGCGGGACCCGTCTCCCCGCACCCCGCAGCGATGCGGGTGAGTCACGCTTTCCCGAAAGGGAAGGAGGGCGATGCGGGCATCCCCGCAGTCCCCGCCGCCACCCCCGCCCCGCCGCGCCGCGCGGTGCCTCACCGAGCCCGGCCAGCCGCTCCACCAGCCCCGCGGCGCGGAGGGTCGCGGGGCCGTGGTCCACTCCCCGCCGCTTCTGCGAGACAAAGAGAAGGGGAACGCGTCAGACAGCGCTGCCCGCAGCCAGGCGTCCCCCGCCCCGCGATGCCCCCCGATGCCCTCGATGCCCCCCGATGCCCCGCGATGCCCTCGATGCCCCCCGATGCCCCGCGATGCCCTCGATGCCCTCGATGCCCC